ACAACGCACGTCCCCATACTGCTCGTTGTTCTCGGGACGTTCTTCAAGACGCAGGCGTGAATGTTTTGCCGGATTTAAATCCCATCGAACTTGCGTGGGACCATTTTTAATTACTTTCTTATTACTTGTCACTGTCACTTGTCACTTGTCACTAAAATTTCGTGAGAATGTTATCATTTCATTCTTGATGTAAAACTACCTCATTGCCAAAAACTCAAGTTCATAAAATTATTTTTTCTGGGAGTAACACTTCTAATGTCACTGAGTATATTACCCTTGAATTGTGAATGATCCTTCGCCCAGGCAACAGTTATGTTATTACTGGTGTAAGTTCTCACAAGTGCCAACTAGCAGTCTATTGCTGATCGCATTGTGAGTTTTCAACACTTGAGAGTCAGTATTGCTTGTCTGCTGTCCGTGCAGTACCTAATATTTGCCTGTGACCTTTCTGTAGGCAATTTCTTTTGCGGCTCTAAGGCTATTCCAGCTAATTCAACCTGCGTCCCGCTGGCATGCTTGTCCATAGACCACTTGCAGTTCATGTGGCCGTATTCCACGAGCTTCTCCTAGCAATTCCGTTCCCTATGTTCGGATGTGTACCACGGATTTAACGCGTACCGTTGTTCCCAAAGCCACTTGGACCATCTAAGTCTTTAGTGGTTCAGCAACACTTCATCGCTCCGTTATCTGCATAGCACCAGGTATGTTAAGGCATGCAGCCAAGTGCAGCTGGCTTAGCTGCAGTTTTTTGGTTACCTGTTGACGTTTGGTAACACAGCCACGGCTAGATCGGCCACCTTAGGTCCAAATAATGGCAAAGTAAATCCTCATCCACATAGCACCTTTGGGTTTTAAACCCCATGTTTTGCCCTTTCTTCTTCGATCTTCGTTCCTACGGTGGTATACGATTCGATACAGGTGTCCAAGATGAGGAGCCTATTTCAATTGTATCTCAACACCTGTGGAGATACAGCTTATTTTAATTATAAAAAATCTGCGTTCCTTGGGGAGTATTTACATGCCGTGGAGAAACTTGTAAACATTTAATGGCTTGCTGAAATATTTGGGAAAAACTAAAATCTGCCAAATCGATTTTATTTTATCTGACTTTATTTTAAGAGACATCTAATATGTTTTTCATTCGCACTGTTAAGGCACTACATGATGGTGTTTTTGAACTTTGTGCCCGAGGTTCGTTTTTGTGAAACCATAAACTTTATTTGTTATATGGTCCGAAAAAAATATCTGATAGCATCTTTTTTTGCCAATTCAGTAATGTTACATTTATTTTCTTAGTTATAAAAAGATGGATTTCTTATTTTTCTTTTTATTCAAGTACTCGTTGCAAACAAATACATGCTTGATATAAGATTATGTTGATTACTGATAGATGCATAAGTATTACATAATACGTATATGATGTAGTCAACTTTCATAAATGATGCTTAATCTAGTGATATTCAGAGTACGAATACATTTTCAACATTATTTTCATTTTATTCACAATAGATGTTCAAATAGATTGCCATTATTTTCTAAACATAAATATGGGTGTACACTTTTCGGACTATATAAAAATATAGTTGATGATGGTTTCTCAAAGACGAACCGTCGATTACAAATTTCAAAAACACCATCATGTAGTTCCTTAAAAGTGCCAACAGAAAAGTTTCATTAGTTTTATGATATTTCTTAAAATAAAGTCAGAAATAAATAAAATGATTTGGTCAAATTTTAGTGTTTCCCAATATCTCAGTAGGTCATAAAATTTTTAGAATGTAAATACGCTCCAAAGAACGCAACTTTTTCCTAATTTAACCTAAGCTGTATCTCCCACAGGTATTGAGATGCCTTTGAATAGAATCCTTATCTGGGACACCTTGTATATATAAACGTGGATTTTCCAATCCTAACTTTTCTTGTCATAAGACCATTAAACTATAATTACAAAACAAGTTCGCTATAACGGTGCATTGGAGTATGAATGAATAATCTCGGATATAATGTTGGGGAAATACCATTGAGCAGGCTATTTTCATTAGACTGAATAAAGTTAGAAGTAGCCCAAAACAGATGGGATTAGCCTGGTAGCGTGCTAGCTGAAAGAAGGCTTTAAAATACTGGATACCGGGTGTTTCAAAATCGACTCTCACCATAAGGATATCGGAAACGACAGGAAATGTGAATTCGGTTAAATGGGGAGCGAAGAATTAGGTAACTAAGAAAATGGCTCGTAGGCAGTTTCGGCACTTATCCCACTGACCCATTTGTTACCCGACTGCACCAAAAGGAGGGATAGGTTTTTCGCGTAGGTATGTACTCGGATACAAAAAAATTCTGTTTACAGGTTACAGGCCCAATAGCTTAATGGAGTTTGGCATATGAGATATTGTGGGAATTGTCTTAGCCCTAACGAGTGACACTGACTATTTAAAATTTTATATAAACAAAATCCAACTTTGAAATACAAATTTCACGGGATACAGCTTAAGTGACATGATAAATTTTGGACGTTATTACGTCATATTTATATATCTCATATTTGAGATGTCTCTAGTTTGCCTTAACAGTGCGAGTGACACTGGGAATACTAAAATTTAAAAAAATTGAATGATGGGATTTTAATAAAAAATCCACTTCGAAATTCCCTTTTCAGGGGCTAACACCAGAGTTTCCCCAACTTTTTTGTATCGTAGACCCTTGCCATGTTTTTCCGTGTTGGGTAGAACCCCCTACTTACCTGATATTGAATTTCCTGTAAATGTCTAACTGTAGTGAAGTTTAGTGTTTAAAAACTTAAAGTAAAAACACATTTATTAATTGAATTTAAATTAAAACTACTCAAAATAAAATTTTGTATCTGTTATGTAAAATATACGTAACATTAAATAAACAGGTGTCTGACCAATAAGTGCCCGCATTGGGAACAAGTGCCCGCATTGAAAAAAAAAATAAGAGGGATAAAATAAAAAAAAGTGAAAAATAATAAAAAAAAGTGTTTTACTTAAAATAGTACAATAAGCGAGTTCGTTTATTAATTATAACATAAACGTATGTTCTACAATAATTTCACTGTTAGTTTGATTAAATTCCGCTTCTTATACGTTTAAGTTATCTAAAAATAGGCAAAAAATTAACGAATTTTAGTGTGTACCTATCCTTGAATTTTCAGAATAATTAAAAAAAAATATTTCTATAAAGGGGGTTCTTTAAAAAATCAATGTGGGCACTTATTACCAATGCGGGCATTTATTGGTCAGACACCAATAAACATAAAATAAACTATAAATAAAATAACATAAGCAATAAGTCAATATTTTTAGTGAGAAGGATGAACCTGATGCTTTAATAATAAATTATCAACATTTGGCGTCAATTTTGTAAGGTTAATCTTAAATCTCCTCGGCTAATGATGTCCAGTCTGTTTCTTTTTTTCGTTAGGAGATTGGTAACAGCGCTGAACCCCCTTTCCACTAGGTATGACGATGGAAAGGAAATTAAAAATTTCCTCGCTATATTCCATAATACGGGATAAGTAACGGTGTATGTTGTTTTGCAGCCAGAATTGCTGATATCCGTTTTAAACTGAACCTTAAATTCTTCGTTTGTACTTAGTTCAGTCAGTTCCTCTTGTATTATGACATTCGTTTCTTCTATGTCACCATATGGATTAATTATCCACGGTGGTATTACCATAGTCAAAATATCCTCAAACCCAGATTCAAAATCTGAATAGAGGGCATTTAAATGTTGAACGTAAGTTGAAACGTCGTCTTCCTGGCAGCTTGTCTGTGACAAATTGGGGAACTGAGAAAATTCGCCCCGTCCAATATTTGCTTCATTAGTTTAACTCTGGCCAAGAAACGCTGATAAGATGGACTTTGTTTTAATCAAATTTAAACTGTCGCCTTGTAATTGCAAATTAACCATATTAAATTTTGTAAACAAATCTGTTAAATAGGTGATGTCTGTTTTCCTCTTCATTAAATTTCTTTTAAAATTTTATCTTTAGTATCCAGAAATTCTAAAATAGTCTCAAAAAGTGCAAAAAATCTTGTCAAACATAAGCCTTTCGACAGCCAGCGTACTTCAGTGTGAAGGAGTAATTGATGAAAGTGTGCGTCATTTTCTTCACACAACTGTGCAAATAACCGCGTATTCAACGAGTTGCTTCGGATTTGGTTTACTGCATCAATGACTAAATGAAGTGATTCATGCAATCTAACACTCAAATGTTAGCAACAAAATGTTGTCGATGGATGACGCAATGTATTGCTAACACCCTGACACATTTTGTTTTAAATAGCTTATAAATCCACGATAACGTCCAACCATGGCAGGTGCTCCATCTGTAGCTACTGATATTATATTTGATAAGGAATTGCTTTTTCAATAAGTAATCCTTCAAAACATGAAATATTGATTCACCTTTAGTGTCGGTTATCAAAGTTCTTGCGAAGAGCAGTTCTTCGTAGATTTCTTGATTCATAATAAAACAAACATATGCCAATAATAATGCTGCATTATCAGGTAAAGTTGATTCGTCCAGTTGTATAAAGAATGGGTCGTTTGCAAATAATTACATAAGAAGCTTTCAATATCAGAACTCATTTCATCAATACGTCTTTCAACAGTATTGTACTTAAGGCAATTCTTTGAATGATATCAGATGCAGGTTTGTGTAAAACAGTTTTTAAAACCTCTTCAACGGCTGGCAAAATTCACTTCTCTCCGATAGTATGCGGTTTCCGGATTTTGCTATAAGTAACCAGATATTGTAAGACGCCCGCAAACCATCATCATGTCTTTGTGACGTCGAAGCGAACATTCTGTCCAGTGTAGGTCTCTTCTGAATTTATCTTTGAGTGTTTGAAAGTATTTCAAATCTTTCTCTGTTTTATCAGGTTGACATCTTCCCAGATGATCTTGCAGTTTAGATGGTTTCATAGCGTCATTGCCCAAAACTTTGCATAAAAGGCACATAGGCGATTGTTTGTCCGGCAATGATGGAATGAAGTCAAATTTCAAATAATCAACACTGTACTGTCTACATTTCTTTTTAGATTCGGACATGGCATCAGTCATCTGTGGGCAAAATTAAATTATTTAAATAAGACAGAAAATCCAGCAGCTGTATATCAAAAATATTTTTTGATTATTTCGAAAAACATTCCATAATTCGAACATCTTCTTGCAACAATTAGCTCGAATTACGGAGATTGCAGTGTAATTATATTACCGATTGCTAAAACTTTCAAAAAGAAACTATTGAGGAGTACTCGTGTCATTTAGCATGATTGAATATTAACTACTAATAACTAAAGTCATGATTGGTGTAATTTATCTATCTTTGCTAACTACGAGTACAAAACTAAATTTAATAAAAAACTCATGTACTTACTTTTCTCCAGCACTCTCAAACAAAATATCACTGACTCACTATAATTTGTGTGATATAATATCTGTTTATATTTCTTAAAATATTTTCTTAGCACTTTCCTTTTCAAGATTCAGGAAACGAATAAACGTATTTGTCCCACATTCGTATTTATAGAGTGACGAATTGAACAAGTCAGTACAAGGTAGCGAAGCTCTGAGACTGCGACTCTCAGGTTTTTACAAGTTCAAAATGTATTGCGACCACAAAGCGAATACCAACATCCTACAACTTACACAATTTATAAACATATATAATAATTTTTTACTTCATAGGTACTTTTATAAATAATGTATATGTTTTGATATTACAAGATAGTATGATGTAAGTAAATAGGTACTATCAGAGTATGTGTTGAGATCCACTATCGTGGACCCCATATTCATTTCATGGACCCTCAAATTATTTTTCGCTGACGTAGACCCCTTGCAGGTTGTCATAGACCCCTAGGGGTCGATATAGACCACTTTGGGAATCAATGGGCTACACCCTAAACAGCTTGATAGCTTTTGACATATGAGGTGCCTCTAAATTTGTCTTTTAAAACTATTCTCTGGGTGACTGTTCAGCGTTTTGATATAAGATATGTGTCTAGATTTACCTTGACAGCACAGTTTTATCTTCATTATTTTCTAGCTTACGTATTTTGGATCGATAAAATCGAATCCTGTGTCATTGTGAATGTATCAGGTACATTGTGCAAAAAACGTGGAGAGTCAGAACAAAAAGCTTATAATGTCGTACTTAGGTAAAAGGCAATAAGTGTAAAATTCGAAGTGTAACAAAATTGAGTTAAAAATTCTGGATACTTTCGAACAGTAGTATTATTACGACACAACTACTGTGATTTCGGATCTAATTGCTGTCGAGGACTAAAATAAATGACATTTCGTCTTTAATTGTCGCAAATCAAAGAACAGTAACTGGTGATTTACTGGTTTTATACTTTGCTCAAACAAATTTATTGCTTTTCTTCGTAGTTTTCATAATCTATTTATATTATGCTTTCAAAGGAAAAACGCAGTAATGTGGAATTTTCAATATAATTATTCAAAATAAAGTTCACATAAACAACATTAAAGTAACGATTTGTCCACATCTAATAATTCAATTTGATAATTATATAATCACATTTAATAACCACATTTAACAAAAATAATTATAAAACTAATCTAAAAGCAGCATGTTTTTTTATGTTAACGTAAAAGAAGAAACTTTTTCAAATTCTATCGGAGCAAAACAGATTACTTTTAATGATTAATATTTATTCACAATAATAGAGTTGTTACATAAAAAAATAAAGAAGTAAACATCATGATAAGATATAAACGTTAAAAGGCAGTGGCTTGTATCATACAGAGAATAAAAGCAGTATAATTTGAAACTACTGCTTTTTTCTTTAGCAAAGTGATTTACTGCTTGTATGCTTACAAAATGTAATCATTATGAAATACTTGACAAAGTGAAAAATAACTATTTTCGTTCAATAACATGATCAATGATATATTTTGTTATTGTAATCATAAAAGAATTCTATTGGCGTCAAAATTTTAAAAAAGGCAGCAAATGAACAACCTAGGTACGGCAGTATGGATGGAAAAAGGCGAAAAGGTACAACTTAAAACAATGCTGTGAATATCACACTATTGGTTTATATTTTTGAAAATCATTCACTAGAGAATCTATGCAAACTAGGGATAGGCATTGAATAAACGCATTTTGGTTTTAGAAATTGACTAGCATTTTTTGCACTAAACGTGCTAACGCAACGATGTCCAGACGTTAATCAAAATATATATATATGTTTATTTTCTAGACTACGATAGGGTTTGCAACACATTCAGTATGGAACATTAATAAAGTTACTTGAAGAGAAAAACAAATTAAAGAAGCGTCAGACTGGGCTGTGTTTTATCAGCACAACCATTTTATATATGTACATATAGGTATTCTCAAGAAATGTTCAAAAGAGCACTTTCAAGGAGAAACAGCTGGTGTTTAAGCAAATGGGTACCTTCGTGCAATGTTAGATATGCTAACGATAGCATACTCCTTGCAGAAAATATTGAAGTCCTGCTGAGAAATTGAACAAAAGTGTCGCCAGCAAGTGAACAGGTAGGTCTGGTACTGAACATAAAAAAATCGAAATTCATGATAATCACTGAACATTTAATGTCAACCTATATGCGAAAAAGCAACAGACTGAAAGAGCGAGTGCTATAACTATCTGAGAAAAAATGTCAACCAGTCAGATGATGGTACAAAGGTTCTGAATAGGAGAAGCCTGGAGTGCATTCGACAAGGCATGTGCTGTGTTAGATTAAGAATGCTCAGTTGATATGTTTTTTCGGTCCTTCTATATGATTTAGGGTTGTGGGCTCTAAATGCGTTCTGTAAGGAAAACGGAATGATATTATTTACCGGCAAAACAAGAGAATCACACTGTTAGGACACAAGTCATGGAGAGAACATGTTGTTACAACTGATCATGCATAATAAAATTTGAGGTAAACGGAATATTGGCTGGAAAATAATGTATTAGTTAAGGAATCTCAGAAAACGGTTCTGATGCGGTTGCACTCAACTGCCTCATGCATCAGCTTCAAAAATCAAGATAGCATTGATAAAAAGAAGTCTGACGTCGGAGGCAGATCTGCGACATCTCATTTTTCTACATCAGCCCGCCCATGATAGCGTCAATTAATCCGACTTTTATTCGAAAATTGATGGCAGCTTCAGAGAATGGACTCCGTGATTATAGTATATAAAATATATTCTAGCTTCTCTGTCGGGAGCGAGCGAGAACCGACCTTTCCAAAGGGCCGTTGCCATGGAGACAAAGTGCTTTACACTGGAGTGCAACAAGTAGTGATGGAAAGTAGAGGCTATCAGCGGAATGAAGTGGGCTGTAGCTCTCGTACTGAACAGCTTTAACCTTTATATTTCTCTGATGAAGCGGATGAATATGTACAGACGTGTGAAAAGTAGACCAATACGTTTTTGCTACAAGGTAGCATTTTTCAAAGTACACAATCAAGTAGTATAAAGCTCGAGGTTAAAAACAACAACGTAATATTATTTAACATCTTTCTAGTGCGTTCAATCAGAAAAGGAAGGCGATGAAAAGCGTATCATCCAAAATCAGCACTTAGTGTACATATTTCAAACAAGACATGAAATAGGACCAAGCGATCAGACCAAGTGGACCATTAGCTTTTTTGTTTTAATAGTTTAAATGAGCATTTCCTGAATTTCGGCTGCATGAACAATGCAAATCAGATCTATAAATGACTTATGCCAGCGGTTAAAATAGAATTTCAGATTTATTGCCCACAGATGAGTGAGAAATCAAATACAGGGTGTTCCGTACTTGAAAAGACATAGAGAAGTGCTAGGTAGTAAGGACCGAGACATCTTTACAAATGAAAATAAGAAACTTACAAATTCAGTTTTAACGGATATAAATCATGATTTATCTAAACACCTAAAACTTTCAATATCACGAATCTCGGGCAGTATTGAACCAATTTCTATCCAGGAGGCTTACTCGTTTTTTGTCACTTTCTTGTGTTTTTGTCAAAACCAACACGTTTCAAGCTTAATACTGAAATGTTTGACTACGTATGAAGAAAGCCAATTAATGGCGCTAATTAATTAGCAAAATAAAGTGGTCTTTTAGTTAAGCATTTTTATTTATTCTGATACCTTATTTTTATCAGTTAATTGACAAAAAATCTAAATTTCAAGGGTTATCAACTAGGCTTTATAAACATTACACAAAATAATGCTTAACGTTCAACTAAAGATGTTTTGGGAACCCAAAGTTTCAATTTCGGATTCAGTTTTGTTCATTCCCCTATATTTTATTAAGTGCAAGGGCCTGTAAGTTGTACATACTCTGAATTTATCATTATTCCTTAGAAAATGTGCTATACATGATGTAAATAAAAAATAAAAAAATAAATTGATGTTATGCACCCTATTTACTTTTTTCGGTAATTTTAGTTCTCACGCCCACGGGCGCAGAATCATTGCAATCGCGGAAATTTCAG